GGTTGGACTCAGTGATCTCTTCCAGGCAGAACAGGTCTGTGATTCAGGAGGTGGCTGGAACCAGCCACAGCCCAGCCAGGGTGCAGCCTGTGTGCTGTGCCCGTGCTGACCCCTCCTCTGCAGCCCAGCCAGGGGTGAATTTCATGCCAGTTTTGGCAGTTTGTACACACAGTGAGGTTGTTCCCTGCAGTGCCTGGGGTGTGCAGGGGAGGTTAGAGCTGCTCAGGGCTCAGCCTTTTCTTTCAAGGAGAAATCACAGAGCTCTGTCTCCCCTCTGCACTCTCCAGCCTGTGGCCTCACGTGTGACACATGGGCAGGCACAGTTTGTTTCCACAGCTGTTGGTCTCTTTTTCCCTGTACTGGAAGGCAACTTGGATTTTCTTCCCTTGGTTTTGCAGAACAAGGTGAAGTACATCAAGCAGACAACAGCCATCCTGAAGCAGAAATATGGGGGTGACATCCCCAGAACTGTGGAGGAGCTGGTGCAGCTGCCAGGAGTTGGGCCCAAAATGGCCCACTTGGCCATGACCATCGCCTGGGACCAAGTGTCTGGGATAGGTAGGTTGGACCATGTCTTCCCAAAATCCCTCCTGATCCTCTCCCCAGGCAGAGGGAAGCATCACAGGGGACAAACTGTTCCCTGGGAGCCTGAGGGCATCCCTTCAATCCAGTCATCTGCAGAGTGTTTGGGTGGTGAAGGATGTGACCCTCAACCCCTCACACCAGATGTGTTGCTGTAGGATTTAAGCATGGATCCAGCTACTGTTTTTCCCAAAATCTGGGAGCAGAAACCCAGGAGGGCAGTCCCTCCCTCCCCTGGGGTGCTGGTAAGCACTGTAAATATTGCCTCAAAAAGCTGTGCTAGCAGAAGAATACTTTGCAGTCTCCTTGGTGTCAAGTGACAGAGAGGAGGGGGTGGTTTTGTGATTTGGGGGGTAGTTGTGGGATGGTCTGAGTCTATTTTTTTTCCAGGGTTGCCTCTGTTGGAACTGATCTCATCTGGGATTTTTGTTTGGCAAGCTGTAAGAGGACAGGAGCAGGGCTTAGTCAAGAGGACTGCCTGAGATGGTGAATTCCTGATGGGTTGTGGAAAGAAACAGTCTCAGGCAATCTGTAGCTCCAGAATTTCTGCTCTGGTTTAGTTCCTGTGGCTGGATGATAGGTGACCAGAGGCACATGAGTTTATTTGGAGTGTTTATTGAGCAGAGGGTGTAGGAGTGTGTGGAGCTGTGTGCTTATGGAATCACAGCATCACTCTGGTTGCAAGAGACCTTTAAGATCATTGAGTCCAACCCTTCCCCAGCCCTGCCAGGTCCCCACTGCCCCGTGTCCCTCACCCCACATCTCCACAGCTTGGAACCCCCTCCAGGGGTGGGGACGCCACCACTGCCCTGGGCAGCCTGGCACAGCCCTGGGCAACCCTCAGGGGAGAAATTGTTCCTCAGCTCCAACCTCAACTTGCCCTGGGGCAACTTGAGGCTGTTTCCTCTCATCCTGTCCCTTGTTCCTTGGGAGCAGAGCCCGACCCCCCCCTGGCTCCAGGCTCCTGTCAGGAGCTGTGCAGAGCCAGAAGGTCTCCCCTGAGCCTCCTTTGCTCCAGGCTCAGCACCCCCCGCTCCCTCAGCTGCTCCTCACCCCACTTGGGCTCTAGACCCTTCCCCAGCAGCTTCGTTGCCCTTCTCTGGCCACGCTCCAGCCCCTCAATGTCCATTTTCCAGCAGTGACTGGGAGGAGTCTGCAGTGGAGATGGTCTGAGGGCAGGCCCGGGGCAGGGCAGCTCCTGCATGATGCCCGTTTTGGGTCAGGATGCCCATTTTGGGGCACGATGCCCGTTTGGGGGCACGTGGCTGGCACAGAGCTGCCCGCAGCAGCCGGCAGATGGGGCTGGATGATCAGCTGCAGGGTCCTGGCCTGGGGGCCCCAGGGGACAGATTAATATCCTGAGTGTATTTGTGCTCCCCAGCAGAGCCCAGGGAAGCTGGGAAGGGTGGCACCTGAGGAGTGGCCCTGGTGGTGGCAGCGGGTGCCCATGGCCTGGACAAGCCACAGCTCTGGGCTGGGCTGCACAGCACTGGGTCTCTTGTCCTCTCCCTGCAGGGGGAGGGGGGGGGAAGCCTAGTGGGAGCCAAAGGAGCTGTTTTCCAAATAATTGTGTGCTTGGGTTTGATTTAGGAGGCAAGACTTAGTCTTCCTGTTTACAGCAATTTCCTGGGTTTTGCCCAATTAGCTGCAGAGACAGGTTTATCTCTGCTGATCTAACAATAATACACTTTGCCTTCAGAGCCTTTTAGCTCAGAGCACTCCACAAACACTGGTTTAAGCCTCACAAACGCTCCTCTGTTGGTAGGTATTATGAAATGTGTTTTCCAGCTGGGTAAACGAAGGGGCTGAGGTTGCAACTTGCATAAGCTCAGCTGAAGCTGGGGAGGAAGAGCTCGTGGGCCTGCTGGAGCAGGGGGTCAGGGACCTCCCAGAGGCACTGGAGGCTCTGCTGGGTCAGTTGTGGGCTGTGTGGGGGGAGACACCATGGTCCTGGCTTGCTCTTGGCTCTGGGTGTGGGTAGAGTGTGGCTGGGCTGTGCTGGAGCTGGCATGATGTGATGGGTGGCTCTCAGCCTGGCCCCAAGTGAAACTCTGTGCTCTCCCTGCCTAGCTGTGGACACCCACGTGCACAGGATCACAAACAGGCTGAAGTGGGTGAAGAAGGAGACCAGGTACCCCGAGGAGACGCGGGTGGCGCTGGAGGAGTGGCTGCCCAGGTGAGGCCTGAGACCCCAGCCCCTTCTCCCCACAGCGAGCCCCCCACTGCACACAGTCCTGCTCACAGCAGCCAGGGACCATGCTTTGGGCCCCTCCTCTCTGGGGGATCTAGTCTGCAGGTGTTGCTCCTCTCCCAGAGAGCTGCAGCAGCAGCATCTCAGCTGCTTGGTTGTCTCCTGGCCATGGGCTGTATCACTCACCATGAGAGCAGCCAGGTACCTGGAGCTCTTGATGCCAAATGCTTGTGTTGACAAGTTTACCATAGAATCAACACAATTTTGGTTGGAAAAGGCCTGTAAGGTCATTGAATCCAACCCTTTCCCCAGCACTGCCAGGGTACCACTAATCCATGACCCAGCTGCTTTTCAGCAAATTTTGACTGCGCTGAGTCTAATGGTCACAGCAACACCAGACCATGGTTGGCTGCTGGCCCTTCATTGATTCTTGAGCTTCAGTACCCAATGCCAGCTGACAGGTACTGTGTTGCATCTCCCTGTGCCTTAGCCCAAAAGAATGACCACAGCCACGTTGTGTGCCTGTCCCCTGCTCCCCACATTTCAGAGGGATGAGGAAAGGTCAGAAGGGCTGTTCACAGGCAGCCCAGACCCACCTCCTGGCACCTCAGGAAGCAGGAGGAGCAGGCAGTAGGTGAAAGGGCTCCGTTCACAAGCACAGGCTGGTTCTTGAACCCCTCTGAGAACGCTCCTGCTCTTCCTCTCCCTGCAGGGATCTCTGGAGGGAGATAAACTGGCTCTTGGTGGGCTTTGGCCAGCAGACCTGCCTGCCCGTGAACCCTCGCTGCACCGAGTGCCTCAATCGAGACATCTGCCCAGCTGCAAAGGGCTGCTGAGGGACCTCCAGCTCTCTGCTGAGCTCCAGAGCTGCTGGGGCCAGGACAGAGCAGCAGGACACTGCTGGGGGCAGCTGCTGGTGCTGGCTGGGCTCTGTGGCAAGACAGGGCTGCTGAAGCACAGCGGCCCTGGGCGGAG